AAGTCTATTATTATTAACTTATTTATACGAAACTTAAATATACGAGTTTAATTAAATTTTAATTAAACTCGTGATTCATATTAATAATTTTAGGTAATGTCTAAAATGTTTCAATAGTTACACCAAACATTTTTTGAGATCAGAAAAAGTACATATATTAAAACTAACGGCAATAATGACTATCTTAATTAAGATAAATTATTTCAATATCTTTCGATTTTGAACATATTTGACAAATATATGTTGCATGTATTATTAACTATATTGAAAAAAAAAATTTGTGAATTTCTTACGATCAACGTGACACATAATGGCTTTGCGAGCGTTCCCTCCGGCCTCTTGATAGATTCGCATTATCTCCATAGGTGCAGATGCATTCGATCCAGGACTAAAGCTAACAGGACAATGCAATTTTTCTTGCACTTCGCCAGTTGTAGAAATAGAACGTTTTTCAAAAGCTACAAGTTTACGAATATAATATAAATACTCTTCAACATACCATCTTGGGTTAAGAGTTGTAATTAAAAAAATTTATTTTATTTTAACGCATTATTATTTGAATATAATTTTGTGAGCAACAATAAATAAAAAAAAAAATGTATTTTAAGAAATAACTTTAATTAAGTTTATAATTAGTTAGTAGATAGTATTTAATTTATTAATAATTAAAATACTTTTTAAATTATAAATTTTGTTCAATATGCACCCTTATTGCAATGTATCCTTTCTTTTTTTTTAACAAATAAAATATACATGTATTTTAATTCAATGTTGAAAATGCGAAAGAATACCTTATCTTGTTTTAATTGTATTATCATAAAAAATTATATTAATTATCTTATAAAACGATTAACTGCTTGTATGGATTATCGACAGTTTAACAGATTAAAATATACAAGCAATGTACCATGAATTGGCCAAGAACTGCCCACTTCGCCAATAAATCCTGCTTTTATTTTGGAACTTTGATAGAGTTCACGATTTACAATACCTTTTTCTAATTCCATACACATAACATTATACATACTTTCTTTTGACATATTTAAGGTTGATGCAAGTTGCGTCTGAGCAACATAATATCCTGTTCAAATTAAAAAAGTGTAATAAAGTAACAATAATAATAATTCTTAAAAGAAAAATTGTTGATTACGATAATACTTGAAAACACAATTGAGGCATTGCAAACCAAAACGAGCTAAGTGTCAAAATTTTCAAAATTAAGTTTAATCAAATTAAATTTGTATTTAAAGTACTTAACTCGCAAAAGGCTTATAATACTTAACAATTATTCAGTTAGTAATAACATTCGTACAACCCTACCTGTTCCAAGAATTATGTTAATTTCCTCTTCTATGGACACATTTACGTATTGGTCCCATATGTTAAAACATCTCAAACCATAATTACTATTTTCCACAATTGTTTGCCCATCAGGTAATGTAAACTCTAATATTTCATTTGGAATAATTTCTTCATTCTCATAAATAAGTTTCAAATTTTTCATATTACTATACCTGAATCAAAATATTGTACGTATTAAATATTTATATTTCATATAATTTATTTTAATAATTTTATTTTAATAATTGAGCTGCTTGATTGTTCAGCGCATGTTTGGAGAATAAACATATAAAGAAATATTTTTCAGAGATATCAAAGATATTTAGTTTGACTTACGGATATAGATTAAGATAGCCGCTACCTTTCATTGTAATTGTTGTATGATCTCTCGAAAGCTCATGCGAATACGGAGAACGCTTAAAACAATTGGTAAAGTAGCTAAAAAGATGCTCGTGCGTTAATGTAATACCGAGGTTATCCAGCAGTACAGGTCCTCTTACTACACAAAATGTAAATAATGTAAAAAATGTATATAAAAAAAATTCTCGAAAAACTACATTGAGATATTTGAAACTGTAGTTACATAGTAAAATAATTGTAGTGAAATAATTATGACGATAGCAGTGTTGAATTAACTATAATTTGCATAGTTGGAAGATTTTCATAAAAATATTATTGGTGTCGAAACGAGACGAATGATTACTGTAACTATTTGTTTTTTAATATAGTTGAAAAAATCAGTATTGAATAAGAATATAGTTTTCGATTGAGTTCAACAGATTTGAAATTTAATAAGGACTATTATAAACTGCGCACTTATATCTATGAATCGTGATCTATCTATAAATTGCAGGTTGTTTATTACAATTTCGAAGCTGTCTCGTCAGATATAAATAAAACAAAATTTTAAGACTTTTTTTAAAATAGAAATATAATTTTTGTACGTCGTGTATCAGTTCCTTGTATGAACATGAACCTTAATATGTAACAAAACTTGTAAAAAATGTATGAATTAAACGTATTATTTATTATATACTTTTTTCATGCTTTAATTGTCTTTAAATTTACCTGTTTCCACAAATTTATCATTTTCCACAATTTCCATTATTTTCACACTACTTAGAGACAAAGCCTTTTCAATAATTTAATTTATATTTTATATAGTACGTGTTGAATTATAATAATGCAACTAAATATATGTTTTAAAATTTAGTAAGATAAATATGTGATAAATATGTTACATCTATTACAAATAGCACGGAAATGTAAAATATATCTGATGCCGAGAAGCCGTAAATTCGAACTGCTGTGGCATCATACTAGAACACTTTCTAACTGACGATACTTCTTGTGAAGTTTGTAACGTGTACACATAGTTCATATTGACGTTAAAAATAAATATTGACATTCATTTGAGTAGCGACAAATATTAACGTTCGACCGCGTCTTTTTATCTAAGTAAATCTTTCTAAGAATAATTTTAATGTTTTTGCAAAATTTTTATGTTGCAAATAAATGCAATAAACAAAATAGAAGTAAAGCAAACAATAATACTGCTTGAAATATTTATTATATTGTTTTATACATCGTGCTTTACTTAAGAAAAATGACATGCAAATTTTCTTGTGTGCGAATTATTGTTTTCAGCTTAGCAATCTCTTAGGATTTTCAATGGTTAACATTGTTGAATCGTAAATTGTAAAATTCCTTTTTAACATATTAACATATGTGGCACAAAATTTTTCAAAATATGAGCGTATCCGTGAACGCCAAAAGTGACCTTAAACATCAGTAGAATATTTTTGAGAGTTAATTGCTCAGATTACTTATAACTGATATTATGATTGTTTAAAATTAAATTATAATTTTTATATAAATTGCTTATTGTTTAACTGCCTAAATTAAAAATAGAATAATAAAAAAAATAAATAACGTATTAAAAAATTTAAAAAAAAACAATAAATTAAATATATTTTGTGAAATTATAAAAAAAAAGAGATGTACGTACCAATCTATCCTTAGTATGAATATCATGACTTATGAGAATTCGATCCAAGTTTCCTTCATTCTTCAGTTTTGCCAGGCGTTTGATACGTTGTGCGTCTGATAATATCTTGTAATACTTATTTTTTATTCGACAGAAAGAATGTTCAGTACCAAACAGATCAAGTTGTACGTAAGTGTGTTTAGTGTCGTCCATAAATTCCATAAATTTGTCTTTGTGCCACAACGTGCCTATTAAATTTATATCATTAAAAGATGACAATAATTTCGATACACAACTTAGTTGAACGTAGGAAAATGCATAGCTCTTACGATCAATGTTGGATATGGCCGCTTTTTTAGAATCACCACCGGCCTCTTGATAGAGCCTAATTACTTCCTTAAGTGTTTCTTTCTCAACGCCGGGATTCAAATTCACAGGACAATGCAGTTGCGCTTGAATCTTGCCAGTGGCACGAATAGAACGTTTTTCAAAAACTCTAACAGTAAATTAAAAATCATATAATATAACTGCTAAATGTTTTATTTAACGTAAAAAACAAATATTATTTAAACAATTTTATTTTTGAATTTATCATTATTAGAACATACTTCTGGACGTAATTATATAAAATAGAAATTTTTTAAAATATTGCGGGAAATATAATTTCTATTAGATTTCTTATAAATTGATTAATATTTACGATATTTTGCTACACAACTGTGTTTTTATAAATTGAAACATCTATTGTTTCAATTGCAATTGGTTACATATTGTTTATTCTGTCTTTTGTTTATTCTGTTTCTTTTCATTAACATATAAATATTTTATTGCATTAAAATGGTAGAAAAGCATTAAAAAGTATACTAAAATAAATAAACTTGCAGCGTTATTTACACCTATTTTGCTTGCACTGTTTTATTAG